AATTTCAGCCAAAAATGATAAAGGGCAAATAAAGCAACTGAGCACCTCCACAATATTACAGAAGACTCAGTAAATACCTTTTCGAAAGCCAGATTAGCAGAAACTTTGATGTGAAGATATTGGGTTGTGAGATCTCGCAAATAAAGGTGAAGCTTTCAACAGAAATTACCAAGACGTGCAAATATCTGCAGGATATTGAAGATGTAGGAGAACACTTTCTGGGGAAAAATAAATGATGCAGTACATGGAGTACCTAAGCAAGTGCTCTGAATGATGGGCTAGCTTTACTGCAATATTTTCTTGGCAATAAGCAAAGTATTTCAGAATTTCAGCATAGTTTTTGACCTTGGAAACTCAACTTATAGCTGACCGTAGCCCACAAAGTAGAGCTCCAGTATCAGAGAAAAGATGCTAGAAGGCCAAAAAAAAAAAAAAAAGCCCTTTTTTATTGTTAGAAAAAAATAAAGTTTTCACTGATCCACTTTATTTCAGCTATTGAAATAAACAGTCTTTCAGCTTTAAAAAACACACCAGATTTGCTAAATAAACAGCAACTGCAATTTAAATTGTTTCCTTGCCCAGAAAGCTTTCTGCTTCAATACAAATCAGGCTGCTTACAGAGACGCTGTGCACCGCCAGTAACTGGGACCTGGATTGCTACTGGCACATCAATGTACAATGAAGCATATTAGGAAAAAGGTTTTACGTCATAGAGGGTTTCACTCCATTCTCACCACTGTGGGCAGGTTGTTTGTCAGGTTTTGCCTATTGAGCTTTGCTATTTGTTAGCAATAAAACGCACAGTGAGAGTCACATTACTGATACAGAGTACTAGTATCTGTTCACTTTAAACACAGCAAGGAAAAAATACCTTGCTTAAGTACCATAGCAATTTTATCAGGTTAAAAGAAAACCATGCTGCCACCAGCCTCAGCTTCTCTGTTCATGTCACACTTCATCTCATCTGCATTGCTTTTAGCTCATGGACTATGTAATTGAAAGACCATTAAAGCTTTCTTTAAGTCTAAAACAACAAGCCACACGTTACCTGAATAGGACCACACACCTCTTTCTGCTGCTACATCTAATCTACTTCTATTTTGTATTGAATGAAAGCAAACCTATTTTTAGTAGGTTCACAGTACTGAGGAGGCTCCCATTCCTTCAAGTGTTAGTGACAGAACCCAAAGCACAGATGCAGAGCTGATTTGATGTGATTACACCTAAAGCACCACAGCAGCTTCAGGGGGAGCGAGGCAGGCTGGAGCAAAGGGCCAACAGGAACCTTGTGAAATTCAGCAAGGACAAATGTGCGATCCTGCAGCTGGGAAGGGAAGCGCTCTTGCAGGGAAACAGGCAAGGAGCAACTCTGCTGAAAGGGCCCGGGGTCCTGACAGAGAGCAAGCTGAGGATGAGCCACCACCAGCATGCCCTGGCCTCAAAGGATTCCAGCAGCACCCTGAGCTGCATGAACCACAGCATTGCCAGCAGATGGAGGGAAATTATTATCCCCCTCTGCTCAGCACTTAGGCCACATCTAGCATCCTACGTCCAGTTTTGGACCTCCCAGTACAGAGAAGACATCTATAAACTGGCACAAGTTCAGCAGAAGGCCACCAAGATGGCCACGGGCTGCAGCCCTTCCCCTGTGAGGAGAGGCTGAGGGAATGGGGCTTGTTTAACCTAGGGAAGATATGACTTTGGCAGGATGTGGCAGCAGCCCCCCAGTACCTACGAGGAGGTCATCAAGAGGACAGAGCCTGGCTCTGCACGGACGTGCCTGATTGCAGGACAAGAGACAATGGGCATTAGCTGGAACAAAACTGGTTCAGAGTGGATGAAAGGAAGCTCTTTTTCCCCAGGAGGACAGCCCAGCAGTGGAGCAGGCTGCCCAGAGAGGTTGTGGAGTCTCCGTCCATGGAGGTTTTCAAGAATTGGCTGGATAAAGCCCTGAGCAACCTGGTCTGACCCCACAGCTGACCCTGCTTGGAGGAGGAAGTCAGACCAGAGCCCTCCTGAGGTCCCCTCAAGCCTGAATTATGCTGTGTGCCAAATATAAAAGATATACTTCGTAAGTTATTAAAATGTAAGACAGACCAAGGCACCAAATATAGTGAAAACCATGACAGAGCTGTGCTGTATTAACAAGGGTTGTTCATTTTAGTAGGCTAGGGCAACTTTCTCCTGTTGTACAAGAAAACCTGTCAAGCAGAGCAAGGACATCAGTTTTAACCGCTCACATTGGCATAGGATTAAACATAGACTTAAAGAGGTAAACCATGGTCAGCAGTAATGCATTTCCACAGTAATACTGCCGTCCATGGGAATATGCCATTCTGAAACGAGCTTTAAGCCTCAGTAATTAAGAATCTGCAACACAGTAGATACTTAAAAACAATTACCTCAAAAACATTAACAGCTTGATGTTATTATCCAAGAAGCCCAGCTTTACTTGCCTTCAATATTTCTTTCTCTATTATATGCCAGCAGTAAGCAATGACTGCCAAGAGCTTTTAAGCTGCTCCAAAGAGCAGAACTGCAGTGGGGAAGTGGGGAAGTCCTAGAGCAATGAGCAGGGAAAACCCCTGGGAAGCAGTGCAAAAACTCCTAGAGAGCACCCAGGGAATTCCTAGAAAGCAAAGGGAAACCTCTAGAAAGCTGGCAGTAATTTCCAGCACAGTTCCCGACCCCGAAAATCCTCGACAACAATTGGAAAATTCCTAGAAGGATTCAGATCCAGCAGTTCCTGGATGACACAGGGGACTCCTGGAAAGGAAACACTTGGCTGCGCTCAGCAGAGCTACATGAGGCAGGTCCATGCCGGCTCGTGGGATTAGCCAGCGCCGGGAACATTGCAGCCCTTCTTCCTCAAACGCCCTTGTCATGCCTAAAGGCCACCTGCCCATGGCCTGATCCCACTTGACTCAATTTCAGGAATCCTGCAGCTCACGGCAAGCCTTAAGGCTGTCAGTAACGCGATGTCCCACTGGTTTAACACCACATTAGAACAATACAGGAGGATGTGTGTAGTTTCCCTTACCAAAAAAAAAAAAAAAAAAAAAGTAGTTTGACCAGCTCATCTGAACTGTCCAATGGGGTTCAGAAAGAGGATCTACTTCCCAGTGTCACTGTTGTGATTGACTGAAGGGAGATTTCTCTCAGCCCCAATAAGACCTCTTCAAAGGTCTAAACCAGTCATGTAGTTGAGCCGGTGGCCAGTGCCCTCAAACTGAGCGTTTCCAGTTGTACGGGACCTCGGTTGAGAGTGCCCCGCTCCTCTCTGAGGCCCTGCCCTGCGCGGCTGTCACACGGCTGCCTGCAGCACAGGCGGCACAGAGCAGCCTGTCCCTCACAGCCTTAACAACTCGACTAGGCACAGGAGATTGTCCTCCAAAGCGATATTAGCATTTCCACAGAGACCGGCTGGTAAACAGATCAAGAGGAAAAGGTGGAAACTACCCCTACTTAACCCACTGAGGGAGGTTTGAATTGCCCTGCTCTCCCTTCTTCCCCTCCATCCCCCAGGAGGGGATCATAAAAGCTTGTACGGAGTCTGGTACGCGCGCCAGGGCTGCGCTCCCGGCCACAGAGGCGGAGAGAAAGACGTTTTGGATTTTACCTGGGAATAAGTACAGCAGCACAATTTTTTTTCTCTCTCTAAAGCTTTTGGAATTGGATTTTCCCTTTATTTGATTAATCATCTAGTGAGTGACATCAGTCAGGGTACAGTCTATTCCCTAAAACCAGGATGTTCAACTCCCCAGTAAGTTTCTCTAGAATAAACCTCATTTGAGCTGCCGGAGGAGCAGTCAACATCTTTGTATACAAAATAAAAAGAAGTGTGGTATCAATAGCTTCATTTTGAAGTATTACCAATCCTTAAAAAAAAAAAAAAAGGCCAAGAAACTCTTGCCCGTTGCATTGTAGTCAACGGTTTTGTCCCTTGTTTACCTAGAGCAAAATATAAATAAAAGAACATGAAAAAGATCTCCCAGAGCAGAAAATGGTCACTGTGATGAGCGATGGCAGAAAAGGCACAGAATACATCAATTTTTAGCAGAAAATTCACTAAACAAAGGCACTCAAATTGAAAATTGGTTTCTGTTAGCCTTCCTCTAAAGGTACAGAGGCAAAACCATGGAAATATCCCTTCAACATCAAATGCAGGAAAAAAAAAGTTTGAAAATTTGAAATTCAGGAAGAAGCTTCTTCAAAGGCATTCAGTTAAACAAACTGTAGGAGAACTCTTGACCAAGGTGTTAGAAACCTCTTTGGGGTTTAGCACGGCCAGAGACAAGACCATGGGGGAAACTCTGTAATTCATTTACCCAAGGAATTTACATCTGGATGCAGCCAGCCCTGCTCTGCATCAGCAAAGGCGTTGCTGGCAATCACGAGGGTCAGAGGCAAAGGGGTCGGGGACCCTCCCAAAATCATCCCCAAGAGACGGGCAAGTATCAGAGCAACAGTGCTCCCGTGATGCAAAACTACAGGAAGGGAGAGCCATTCCCAGCAAATTTCTTACTGAGAAAAGAATTCCAAACTGCCCCTTTACTGGAAGAATTACTAGTTAGCTTCAACACAAAGCTTCTGTGAGCTACTTCTACCCACTTCTGCCAAAGGTAAAACATACTTCTAACTTAAATCGTAACTCTTCCTCGGACAGAGAGAATCACTGACCTGCACTCAGGAAAAAATAGTATACTTCTCAAAAAATGAGAGCGATTCAAAGTCTTACTAGCCTTCAGAAATGAAACTAAAAAAGGGATTTGTTTCAATTTTACTGAGTAACAGCAGTTACTAAAGGGTCAAACAGCTACAAATCTTCACTCCAGCATCTTCTACTCAGTCTTCTGCTATCATCACTTCTAGTTTGGCTGCTAATATTTATGATCCCTTTTGGGAATGTTAAAATACAAGCGGTTCATATCAAAAGGCTAAAGCAGACATCTGAACTGACAAAAAAGAAATGACTACACTGCTTTTTTTTAATCACTTACCTGCATTATATGTGTTAATTTTTCTAACTTGCTATCGCCTGTACTCACACCCACCAGCGAACGCTCCTCGCTAACCCTGTCAAAGCGACACAGAAAATTTGCAGAAGTGGCACCGTGCTGCGACGCTGCCTGCTCTCGCTCAGGACCGGCTGGAAGAGGGAGGCCGACGAGATGCTCGGCCAGTCGAACTAACACGAGCCCCGCAAGGACCGGGGGGAAAACAGATGCAAGGATTAGCGACCCCAGCATACCTGAGCCTGTCCAGCCTCCAGGAACTGCAAATAAGGACTTTACTGACCAAAACCAATGCTTTGAATAAGAACTGTGAGGCAGCAGTCAGTACCTGGAGCAGAAATTTAACGTGCTCCGCTTGCGAGCCACAATAATCCAGCAGGCTGGCGTGGTCGGCAGCAGCTCGTGTGTTGGAGTCCTTCTCAGTGGCAGCCTTGCATTAAGAGCGCTCGCTAATCCAGCAGCTGCACTTTTATGCATCGACTAATCCCTTGATGGCAGCCCGGCCTCATTAGATTGCAGAGGTCACTGGCACAATCAGCTGAGCACCGGCTCACTGCAGGCATCAAACAGAGACGATGCTTAAATGCAGTTTTCACCAGCGTGCTCTAGTTAAATATAATCAAAAGATTTTCCCCCAAGGTTGGGCGAGATTTTTTGTTATTACTGCCAGATCTGTTAGCATGATCTCTGTGTACTCCTTGGATGGTAAAAAACTCAAGTCAAATTAAAGGGAGGGAAAAGATAGCAAGTGCTGTGATATGCCATCTCCTGCAAAATTCTCATCTTCTACATTTTTAATGGGAATAGTTACGTATTTTAGGTAGCAACCTGCATGTGTCTGAGCCCAGTTTCTCCTTATTTATTTATTTATTTTTGCATTTTTACCAAAGACTAAAAAAAATACCTTTGGAGTTTTGTTGTGTTGATGTTTCCAGAGGAATCAAGAGTAAAAGCAACTGCTGAGCTCACAGCACCCCAGCTGCGTCAGTAGCAAAGCGCCTTCCCCCCAGGCAGCCATCGCTGCGCCGTGCCGTGGGTCTCCACAGTGCCGCACGCTGCCTGTCTTTACCTTCGCTGGTGACGGCACCTTCTGTAGTTCTTTCCGGGAGAAATCTTTGTGCTGAGTCAATCTGTAACATCCAACCTCAACGTTTCTTTCTACGTTGCATCCTTTGCATCTAAAAACGTTCATGAACGAACGAAACTAAATTAATCATCAGCTTGTTCGAACGTGCCTCCGCGTTCATTCAAGTATCGCTCTCCAGACAGACGTTGTATCCAGTCACCTCCTCCAGGAAACGACGCTATCCACAGGGAAACACAAAAACCAACCAAACAGCCTGTTTCCTATCAAGTTTTTCTTGAGCATTGACTGCCCTTGTCTACGTTACAGCGAGTCACCAGGGTCACTGCAAAGTTGGCTTCAAACCACACCACCCGTGGCTGAAACCCAGTTTGCCCCACTGGCCGTGCTGGGGGGAGGCTGCATCTCCAGGGAAGGCTGCAGTGCGGCCCTGCTCCCTCCTGCTTTCCCTGCCTGGATTAGCAGCGATATCGCTAACCACGAAGCGCCGCAGGCAGAAGTTACCTGCTGCAGGGGAGCTTGGCTTGGTACTTGCAGCGGATAAAGCCTCAGGCTACCCTGCTTCCTCGGAGCGGGGAGCTTCTCGCCATTGGGATCACGCAGGGGGGCCACCAGAGAGATAAGAAACAGAGCTGAGATGAAAGCAGATAAATTCGGCAGGACTGGAGGGCCCCTGCCAGGGTGCTCCAGCACGGCTGCTGCAACGGGCAGTGCGGTCAGCCCTGGCCTGCTCTGCTCTCCCCCGTCGCCCGCTGCAGCAGGAAACCCCACGCTGGACTGGAGGAACCTTGCCTCTAGTTTGCAGTAAAACTTCACCAAGACAAAAGGCCCCCCACCCAGTGCTTTCCTCCCCCAGGATCACTGCTCTTGCTCTGTCTCAGGTTACCTTTTCATGAGGTGAGGCCCCTTGCAAGGGCGCGCAGGCCAGGCTTTACCCTGCCACCCCTCTGCGCAGGGCTCCCGTGTTGCGTGCACTGTTTGCTCCTCTTGTGCAAAGCTGTACCGTGCATCTTCTCACTTTCTGTGGAAAACTGCAACGGCTCGGGATACAGGCGCCGCTCGCTGCTCAGGAGCTGGGGCTATTGCCTATCCCATCCAGAGCATCTCCTTCAGGGGCCTGGTATACACTGTTAAACTGCAGACCCATTAGAATAATCGGCTTTTCGCAAGCCCCTTTCATTGAAAAAAAAAAAAAAAAAAAGCATCTAGAGTGGACTCATTTTCCTTAAACCTTCTTAAACGTTAGGTAGATACCTGCATGAGTTTGCTGCTCATAAAACCTGTGCTGCCAGCTCTTACCAATCCCACCTTATCCCGAGCCCCTGCCATCCCATGGTCAGGCTATGCCATTTCTGCTTTTGTCAGCAGACCATAATCATTGAACACTGTATCACCCCCACAGGTCCCCTCTTGTGCTGCCCTTTGTTACATGTTCAAATCGCAAGAAGAAAAAGATTTGACTGCACATTTCTCGCAAGCATGTTACTGCATCCAGTGGATAATCAGAGGATTTACAGATGCACTGCCAGCCTGTGGCAAGGCTTTATCACCACATTACGTCCCCCAACACTAAAGTCGTCTTTATTCCTCTCCTCAGTACAAGGAGAAGATTTAAGCCTGCCCTCCCAAATAAGCAAATACGTATTAGATGCTAGAGCAAGTTCTAATCAAGCAAGGGTTGTTAGCTTGATTCCAGGAAAGACACTAAGGTAGAAAGCCAAGTTCATTATTGATAAACAACTAACTTATTTTAATCTGTTTAGTCATAGCATACATGGCTTCTTTACATCAGAAGAGATACTTGACAAGCGTAAGGTTTTTCTCCATGGACAAACGTTTTGAGGATACTCTCCACTTCAATTTGAAAATCATTCCTTGAGATTTTACAATTTGTAACATGAACGTTCTAAAAATTACATCACGTTTAACTAAGAAACTAATTTGCTTCAACAGTACTTTGGTAAAGCAAGACATCAGGAGACAGGTTGAAAATGAAGGTGTGTCTAACTGGCGACCTGAACTAACCCTCACGAAACAGATGGGAGCCCTTTCTGATGCTTAAAAGGACTTCCAAAATTCTCATTTCTTATTTATTAGAGCCAAGCTCAAAGTGCAAAAACCCATTTCTCTGATCAGCCTGTATGTTTTACTTATAACCCTCCCCGTGAAACACTAAAGAGCCGACAGCAAGAATTGCCTGCTTCTCCTTTGACCTCTGCACCCATGCAATGGACTGTCTTTTACAGGAAGCCAGGCTGATCTGAGAGGCAAGGCTTTTTGAGCTCAGCCTTACAAGGTACTTGCACCTCCAACTGTTCATTTCTACGGCATAACGTGTGGCAGCAATTTCTGCTTTTTCTGTATGAAAATGCTGGCTACCATCCAGCCCTGCTGAGAAAGGGACCAAGAAGTAAGGTCACTGTTCTCCAGCTGTTTCTGCCCCTTGTCAGACAAGACCAGAACGTAACATATGACCCTGTAAGACCAAAAAGAATTAAAAGGTTGCAAGCAAATACATAAGCAAACTATTAATCTCAAAACGTTTGCTGAAATACAGAGTGGGGAAGAGTTCAGGCTGGGATCCTCCCTCTCCACTCCCTCCTTCTCCCCAGCAGTTTGTTCCCTGCGACAGGTGAGCAGCATAAGGCAATACACGGTCAACAGGATCCTTGCCTTTGTGCCCCTTGCCAGACCAAGGGAAAACAGTCTAGCAGCAAATCTCCCAAAAAAACCTCTGGTTTGGGGCATCTGCTGTCTCAGCTGAGTTCAGCTCAAGCGCTAACCCTTTGAAGCCCCTCGCAAGACTATCTTTATCTATTTGTTCCAACAGATCACAACTTTCCAGTATCTGCTAAAAAAAGAAGATCCTGTAGGAGTAAGGACTTTCTGAGCAGCCACAGGGACCGTAACACTTGCCTCTGACCACGTATCAGAACAGCTCCTCACCATGGCGGGAGACAGCTCACCTACGGAAAGCGCACGTGCATGTGCCTCGAGACACCAAACCAAGGTATCAGCAGGAATGAAAGCTGGCTACAAGCCTGGGGGAGGCATGGAAAAGACGACCATTATTTCTAAATAGAAGGACAATATTCAAGTATTGCTGTGGTACGCCAAAATAAGCCTTGCAATACAATTCTCAGGAGCATTTGCAAGAACTGCGGCTTAATGTGCTCTGTAAATGGTCTCAATGTAACGGTGAGGTAGTACCTAAACATCTTTAGGAGAAAAACTCTTAACACATGGCAGCATGCAACAACTCCAGTCATCACTATTTTGCTCTGTAAATTTAGAAAGGTTAAGAGAACTGAACCACTAGGCTCGATAGAACAGTTTGCAGGGTTGCTCAATTGCACCTGAAAATATGCCAGTTTTGTGTAACATAGAGGACTCAACCTGAATCCTCATGCCAGTTACAACTCAATTGTTAGAGATAGCAACAATTTAAAAAACAGCGTGATACAAAAAAATCGGAAACAGCACAGTATCACGAGTTTCCAATATAAATTCAGATATCAGATGTCCAGAAATGCAAAAGCAATGCTCTTAAGCACAGTTAAAATGCTGCAAAACGTGGCTTCAGGCAGTATTCCATGTATTCTAAAAAGCTAAATTTATGTTCCGCTTCATGATGCCCTATGCTCTCTAGCAGATAAATAAAAAAATGGAAAGTTATTTTTGCTTTAAAAATAGTAATTTTGATATTAAATTTTTCTCCTCTGCTCTTACTACTTTCCAGTGCAACACATCTAAGGAGACACAGTACATAGAAACAAACAAGTTTGTTGGGAAGACGCTGGCGGTTTTGATAGCTGAGTAAAGGTTATCTATGCTATTTTTATTGTTGTACTAAGTGGGAATGTCCAAGTTGCAGTAGAATTTCTATTTGTACCATTTCTACTTCCTAGGAGATATTGGCATAAATGCATTGATTGTCCTACCCACACGTTTCCTAATATATCACAGGTCGTAAGACTCAAGTTACTCCCCAAAAATTATTGAATTACTGACTTATATGTTACGTTTTTAAATATGAACTGCACTGAACAAATGCACTCGAGATAAGAACCTGACCAGGTTCACAAACTTTACAGAAAGGCAAGAGGGGAAAAAATAAAAAAAACAAACCACACACGTGTTTGTGCACATTCCTGATAAAATTACCAGTGAAAGTTGACTGTTACATAAATCCAAACAGATGTTAGCAATAGTAGATTACTCAGTAGAAAAATGGACTAGCAGCCATTAACATCTCTCAAAGCAGTTATTTCCATCTGAACATTAAAAAAAGGTTACGCAGGCTGAGCTGGAGGACAAACTGAGACGACCAGGAAGAAAGCCTGGTGTGGCACTGCCCAGGCGTTGCAGGCAGCAGCTCCATTTATCTCCCCTTCAACCCTCAACTCTACAGAAAATGTCAGCAAAAATTCATTATTACTTTTTTTGCCACTGTTGGTACGTACCACTGAAGCTATACGCTTCTGCCATTTGATTACCGGAGCAAGCACAGAGCCTCATGCAAGTCTGCTCAATTCTACACTATTTTCCATGCAGATTTATCATGTGGAGCGTTTACCTTCCTATCCTTTTTCATAGATGTCCATTATTCTTGAGTATCACTTCCTAAGGGTTCAGTTCATTAATTCCTCCATATTAGGGCTTTACAAAACGGAGGGGGGAAAAAAAACCATCTATGAGCCAAGATGAGTTTCTATTTACTAGTCTGTTGTAGCAGTACTCTCTCAGTTCAGGCTGCTGCTACAGAACAAGGCAGTCCTGGATTTACTGCTTCCCATAGCAAAACTACAAGTAAACTGGACTTTCAGCCCACTCTGTGTTGATGCACCACAGTAAGACCTATCTGAGGTTCCCTTTTACCAGCAACTGATACCTAGTGAAAGACTGCAGAAATGGAAAGCCCAAGAGATGGGAACTACAGACATGAAAGATGCATGAAATGAAAAAACATTGTTCCTAAGTCGCAACTGACAGAAGATGGCTTCTCCTGACCTCCATGTGTGGTACTCCGCTAGACTTTTCTGAGAATTACTTGCATTCTTGGGAATATTGCTGAGAAGCTTTAGCTAATGACCAGCAATAATAACGTATATACATAGAAGAATAGCAGAACCCTGTAACTTGCACTGTTTGATACAAAGTGCCTTAAACAGCTTGCAGGAGTGTCTTTTCTTCCTCAGTTATTTGGGCTTCAGCAGACCGATCACACACTGTGTAGACGGTTAATGTTTTTGAATCCTCCCCCCCTTTATTCTTTACCCTTTTAATTTCCTCCCCAACATAAATGCAGAGAGTCACATCAAAGCCACAGAGAGAAAGATTACAATCATTCTAGCACTTATATTTTTCTGAAATATTGAAAAAAAAAATCTATATGGGTTTGGCAGCTACCTCACACAGCCAACCACTCACCAAAACATAAGATGAGGCCTGCTCGTTATCTGTGATAACTGCTTTCAGATTTCATTTAGCATCTCAAAAATGTAAGGTATTATTGTCACAAAGGACACACAGAGAAACACCTGCAAGTATTCCAACAGATCTTCCAGCGTGCCTACAAAGATGTTTTCATCCTTCAACTTGTCTGAGACTGTAAGAAGCTTGTCCGTTCATACACACTACTGAAAACTCCTTCTGAACAAGGTTTTTCCAAACTCAATCCTTTCATCAGTGTCTTTAAGTAAGTGGTGCTCAAAGTTGGTAACGATTCATGCTGTACTAGTCAACAACTTGTACAAAGGTAAAGATGAAAAATATCATTTGATTGCAAAAGATTTTTACCATCCTCCTTCAGTCACATTTTTATTTTATGAGACAACTCATCAAGCATGCATTTTCTGTGTACTCATATGCAGCAATTAATCTTTTTATAGTATCGCCCAGTCTGGTGTGAACAGTTAAGATATTACACAGTGACTCCATTGAGATGAATGGAGGGGAAGTTTATGCATGTTATTTCAATGAAAAAAAAAAAAGGTATTTTACTTGTCTTGCTCCAAGAGAGCCAAGAAAGGTAAGTGATAAAAGCACCAGCTTAAGACTTTTTTGAACATAAATTCAGGCATTTTAATGTATTTATCAGTAAAGCTACATGAGTTTCCATGTAGGCAATTCATACATGTTATGGCACTCAGACTCTCCTAACAGCTATTTAGTTACCTAGGATATCTAGGTTTAAAATAAGTTTACTAAAACTAACCATTTTTCTAAGAAAACACTTCTGCCTCAACCTTCAAAAACTCATCATTTTCCTCAAAGTTTGCACCAAAATACAATTGTTCGTACTGCACATTATCTGAGTAAGTTGCCCTTGACAACAATGCCACATTAAGTTTAGAACTCTAGTGATTTGTGAACACAACAGAAGGCAGCATATTAACCCACTTTCAACAAAACAAATCGTGTCCTGCTCCTTAAGAATTATAATATAGAGTATTAATACTTGTGCATCCATTCTTTTCTCAGACTAAAGTCTTCAAAGTAATTATACATGCTAGCTACAAAAGAAGTCAATTTTAATTAAAGGAGGCTTACAATGGTAGCATTTTCCCCATGTAAGGCATTATTCTGACATCTACTGGCCTGGTATCCAACCTTACATTTTAATACACGGCATTTGTTATTAAAAAGGAGCATATATATATATTAATCCAAAGATAAGAACAATTAAAGGAACACAAATGACATACATTTAAAACAGGCCCATATATTTTCATATAAATCTCACAGCCCTACCAATATTTTGGCAGGTTTCTATTGCTTTCTTAACTCATCTGAACTACTGTATATTATGAGGCTTTAATACAAGCAGCTTCGGGGAAGAAAGTTACATTAGGGAAAAGAAAGTTGTGACAAGTAAAAAAAATCCAAGAAGTTTTTTTTTTTTAAAAATCTTTACTTGCAAAATTAAGCAGCATGCTATTTTATGATTTATATTTGAATTTAAAAAGACTAATTAGACTGAAATAAAAATAAAACCTAAAAATGGCAATTCTATAAATAATGAAAATTTTGATTTCACTAGACTTTAATGAAAAACATTTGGTAATTAAATACTTGCTACTGTTCATTATGTTGATGAACTTTATTAGGGTTAAAACTATAACAAAGTTCATCCTAAAACATTTTGCAATGCAAAATTATTTTCACTCAAGGAGTGTCTCATAAATTGAATGCTAAGAATTACAAGCAATCTTCAGAAGCAGACACTCACATTCGTAAAACTTTATACATCTTTCGGGAACTAAGATATTTATACTACTAAAATCAAACATGCATCACTTCCCATACATTCTGGTATCATGATTTATATTACATTATGTAACACCATTCTTCTAAACAGCAGCAGTTTTATCATACGTTTGCCCCATTTTCTTTGGATTTCTGATCTTTATCTTCGTTCTTCACAACATCCTTCAAAAGAAAAAGGGGAGAAGATAACGTAAATTCCAGAAAGTATAAAAAACATCCCCAGAAGTCTCACTTTATATTCCTTTACAGGCTTTAAGAGAAAAGCTAATATTTTTTTCTTCAAAATCCATTATGTTAGGACAATATAACAGAGCTAACATAAAACGCACTTACATTGGTTAAAGCTACCTGAAAACCCTGGGGTTATAAGATATTTTCATCCCCAAAACAGCAGACAAAGGCTATTTATCTGAGCTAAGATCCTGGGAATAGAGGGTCATGCAGCACCTTCAGCAGCCAGCTCTGATGAAGGTGGCAAGTCCACCTGCTTTATGCAGCGCAGGACTGCATAAAGACACTGATGACAGTTAGATGGCTGCAAGGTATTACTAGATCAGTTTAATAAGCTACTGTGACTGATCTGAGGTGTCACTTGTATCCTACAAGAGCCAAAAAGGTCAAACACTTGACAAGGTTCCTAGTTTTTTTTTTTTTTTGAGCCTTTGTGGAGTCTATTGTCTTTTCAAAATAAAAATAGTATTAGAAGCAACTCCAGTTTGCCACTGAGTAGCCTCCATAACCTACATCAATTCAAGCCTTATTTAATGGGACCTCAGAACATTCCTAGGGAATAGGCAAGTCACTTTCTGTACAGTGACAGAGATGATTAAGCAGTTTGCTCAAGCTCTTTTTACTGGAATGCTCCGATAAACTGAAATGTCTAAATTTTGCCTCGAAAACCAGAAGTCTTATTTCTAACTGAAAAGAGGGGATATAGAAAACTTGCACTGAAAGGGATGGAGAGGGTCCACTAAAATATTAGGATGGCTTGGGATTTATATGTAAAAGCTACATAAAAATTAATAAAAGTCAGGAACTTCTCCTATGTTCCAGGCTTAGAAAAACATCCTTTTTAATAATTAGTACCTCATTTAGCATCTCACATAATGTAAGGTATTTCTGTCCCAAATTATTTCATTCTGAAATTTTTGTTCAGGTAATTTAGGTTACAGAAAACCTACATGCAATAATCAAAGAATGAATTACAAAAATTCTAACCTGTTTAAGAACACTGTGTATTTCATCCATAACAGTAGCTAGATTTTTGATTGTCTTATTCAGCTGACTCTCAAACTGCAGATTTTTATCATCCGAGATCTTTAAATTTTCCTGTAGTTGGCCCAGGTCCTTTTTGACTTCTTTGAGTTCGGTAGACAGACTTTTGTTAGAATTCTCCAGCTGAAGTATGGTCTTTTCATCCTCATCTAAAATAAAAGTCAAAGTCACTTCCAAGGCCATGTACTTAACATTCCACTTCGATAACACCAAAATTATTAAAAGAACATTAAAAGACTACATTGTGTTGCCGTTTGGTAATACACAATTCTGACTACGTTTGAAAAGCAGTTTTATATTCAACCTGACTCAAAAAGATAAACATTTCATTGTGTGCAACAACTGCATTCCAACAGCTACTGGTGTGCAGGTTCCAAGGGCTTGGGAAACTGAAATAGCTTATGGTGCGCAAATATCTAATAAGATCATTGGGTCACAAATATTACTCAGATTGGTTTATCTACTAAAAAATTCCTAGAATTTTGCATCCATACAAGTACCACCTTCAAAGCAGTGTCCCACCTGTTTTTTCTTCTAGTAACTGAAGCTTTTGTTCTATCTCTGCCCGTACTCTTTCACTTTTCTCCAGCTTCTGCAAAAGGCTCCCAACATCAACCATGGCTCCATTGTACACTATGAGGCCAACATTTTCCTCTACAGCTTTTGATTCTTGCTTTATTGTAGGCGATGGTAACAGTAATCTGTTCCCTACAGTTGATTAAACAGCATTAAGAAACAATCATTATGTCATTTTTCTGTTGCCTACAGTTCTAATGACCAACCTTAAAGCTTCCTTCATTAGTCACAATATTCCATACTAATTCAAGAGTCATACTTCTTTAATGCTACAGAATTCAGATCATAAGATGGTTTCTTCATATGCGTGAAAGGAATAAATAGAGATTCATGTTGTTTAGTCTGTCTCTCATTTCTCACCTCCTTCCTTCCCCCAAACCTCCCACAAGTAGTATGCTCTTCCATGACATTTTTCTTTTTCTCCTTTTGCAGTAATTGTCTTCCAAGAATCAAGCTCCATTCTCCTACCTGTAGGACCTGCTTTGATCCTCATGACTGCAAAGGTACTGTGAGAATAAGTAATACCGTTAATGAATGCTCAACACTAACCTCTGTCCTCCTTTCTGGTCTAAAGCATCTTTTAAGAACTCAGGCTATAAATGTAACCCAGGACCTGCTGGTAGTCAGAAATACCATAGTGTATGAACTGATCAAGGTTAACTTTTCTCAAACAGGCAGGTTCTCTGCAGACCTGAATTAGTTTTGCAAGAATGCAAACATCTCAGAACTCTCATATCATCTGCACAGAAACAATTCTTTATGGAGTTTGTACAATCCAAAAAAATACTACCTAACATATCTTCCTGTAGTTCTTCAGACTCTTCTTGATTTTCTTCATCTTTAGAAGTATCTGTTAGTCTTCTGTAAAAGCAGGATTCTCTAAGTACTACTTTATTAAGTAGCTTCTTGACCTAAAACACAACCATGGAAAGCAATACTATGTTATTTAAGTAATGCAACAGGTGTTAACGTACAATAGTCAGCATACTACCGAAACAAGTATGTTTTATTCTGAAAACTTACTTCAAGAAATTGCAAAGGTTTTTAACAGATTAGGCTTAAAATTTAAACAAGCTAGGAAAAAGAAATACGATTTTTTGAGATGTTTAAAAGCTATGTATGAAACGTAGGTATATTAAGAGCTGCAAACTGTACCTTTTCATCCTAAAACAATTTACACAAAATTGAAGTAGAATCTCTTTGCCGCTACAAAGTAGAATACCTAAACGTTAGGGATAAGCAACAGCCTTTAGAACTACTTTCCACCCACACCCTTACAGCATTTCTGTAGTATTTGCAAAGGCATTTCTATTGTTATACAAAACCTGAGCACGTGATAGGTGTAGTCCAAGAGTGTACAGTATCTCCTCCATGTCCTTTTCCAGAAGATATCCACAGTGACTTTGATCAAAATAAACAAAAGCCATCAGAAGATCCCTATTAACAGTTATCATCTGTGTCTTGTCTTTCTCCTACAAAAAAAATTCATTGTGTGGTCATTAGGAAGCTACAATATCATTTTCCCATTGGCCACTAAAAACGAGTAAACGTTTAAGTTAGCATGAAAATTGTCCTCAGTTCCATTTTATCATTTCTTTCAGTCAAGTAATTAATATAACTAGTATTTATCTCCTGGGCTCAAATATAATACAAGCAAGCTATTTAGGACAAATCTTTCAAATATTTAATAGGGTTACAGCAAAATGGACAATAACGTCTGGCAGATAGCTTCCTTTTTATTCAGGCTAACGTGCCACAAAGCTTGAAAAATTAACCTAAAAAACATTTTTTTTAATCCCTCCCCAACATCAAATATTTTACTCAACAGTCGCTTCAAAATGAAGTTTCCATACACGTGTAATGGATGATCATCCAGCTCTAACAGCTGCGACCATTCTGCACTACTGTTTTGCCATTACTCCTATTCCTACATTTCCTAATTTTTGAGGGGAATAAAACAACAACAAAAGTCAGATACATGTTTTATTCTTGCGTTTATAAAGAGAGTTTACACATAACCAATCCAACCTATGCTTTCTTAATCTGAACTGTGGATGCAAGCTACTAGCCTCATCATGACAGAAAAAGCATCCATTTTCCTGCAGGGAGATGTAAAAGCACTGCATAACGACTACATCTTTTCCTGCAGGGATATGTAGGAACGTTACATAATGATTCCAGGCACTACAACTGGCAAGCCAATTTTTTTAAAATCAAGCTAAGCTTCTGCTTTTCTTACGTTAGAATACAGCCATTGAAGACTGTGGATAAAAATCATATCCGCTGCTTTTTATGTGCGCATGCAGCCCTCAGGTCTTTCAGATAATTTAGTATCTCGTAAAAAAAGTTTCTCCAGCAAATTTCACTCAGCAGGCATTTAAATGTACGTGAAAGCAGATTAAGAACCTTATCCAAAGCTGTCACGTTCCCTATTTGTTATATAGGCAGTGTTTCAGTCTAGAAGTGTTAAAGGGAATCAAGACGCGAAAACAGGTTTTATAATGAAAATAAAGGTAAGCTCTATTTAGGACATCTCTAACAAGGCTACGTGTAGTTGTTAAGAAAGGTGTTAATTACTTTATCTTTAGATGACCTCTCTTTACAGTGCCTATTTCCCTCTCTTCTGTCTTCCCGTTTGTTCATTTCCTCTTCATCCCGGTCTATAAAACAGAAAGAAAATTAAACATACCCACAGCAAATGATTCTACAATTATTATCACAAAAATACATGTGGTCATTTAAAAAACAGTTTACATAAACCCCAAAACATCTGGAAACATTATAACATTTCCCCAAACAACAGAAAACCAAATGGCATTTTAAGTTAGTCTCATTACATTTTTATTTTTCTCTGGTCTTACTTTAACATAAGAGACTTATCAATTTTACCCTGTAAAATCTTAAGTTTTCACACACAGCACAGCAGAGAAGAAATAAACGCTAACAAGGCCAAAATAAATAGATGATGATGTTGGCACAACTTAAGTGGTGCTGAAAATCACCCCCATTCTCCCTAAGGAGGCTTGGTAGAGTCTGCATTCAGCTATAGTTGTTCCTATTAGGACAGAATTGATACTGTTTATTGTCAAATATTTTACAGAATAAAAACCATATCAATCACAATTAAAAGTACGTGTTTATATTCATGTATGAGTGAGAATTTTGATTACTGGTATATGTGATCCTAACCCTTAGATTCTCCACAAGCTACTGATTACGGTGCTTGTTAGATGTGAAGTGCAAAAGGTGGGGGTTTTTGTGTTTACAAGTAGACAATACAGTAAAACTACATCTAAAATAAAAAGAGAAAGAGGAATCTGAGAACTGCAGGGATGGATTATGCCATGCAGCTCTGTGCCTTATATACAAGGCTTTGGTTGGAGAATCGCGTGCCAAATCAAGCTTTAAGAAATTGCTCACCTTTCTTGTGAGGAAAACTTTGTGAAAAAATTACATATCACAGTATTTGTCTAATTTTGCCAAAACATTTCTGAGAAGCACAAGCTTTTTCATGTACCTCCATGGCCTGCTGGATGTGTTCTCACCAACTCTGACTGGGAACGGCACAAGGACAGATTATGGGAAGTAGAAGCACTCGTACAGAAGAGAACTTGCATAGGGGCCAGATAATAAGCAAGTAAGAGTTACTTGGGAGCCAGAGCCTTAGCACCAAGTTTTTAAGCCTGGCGCAGCAGCACTTGGCACTACTGCAAATGTTGGCTAGAAATGCTGGGACTGCAACATTTAGGCAGTTCAAAACCACATCTCCAGCAAAAACTGTGCCCGTGAAAGGGAGAAGAAAAATCCCAAAAGTACAAACTAAAAAGCCCACAACATATATACTCCTTCCTGCATCTCCAAGCAGGGGAAAAGGGCAATTGCTGCTCTCTGAAGACAGGAAAGCTCCCCGGCCCCTTTCCTTGTTTCTTTGGGCAAAGAGAACTCCACCCAAACACAAATCAACTCCTCACATCATCATTTAAGAAGAGCCCCACGCTGCATTCTGGCCTAATAAAAACAGGATGACATTTTAGAACTAAGGAATAGAAAGTCAGGCACTTAAAAGTGGCTTGGTTTTTCAGAGGTGCTGAATACTCACATCTCCTACTGACTTCAATGGGAGTTGCGAGTGGTCTGCATTCTGAAAAAAATAAAACCACTTCTATATACATGCCTTACTTTGCGTACCACAGCTACAGTTTATATATAAAAACTACGTTCACACAATACCTAGCATAAAAGGCACTCAAATCTTAAGCAATCTTAAGCAGATCTGTTCAGAATTACTTGAATAAGTAATTACTTTTATAAGTAGTCTAATAATGCAATTTTAGATTTCTAGTTCTAGTGCGTTCTCCATTTTCAAAGAACGTATATATTCAGTGGCAACAAAAGACTTATCCAACAGCCACGAAAGTCATAATTCAAAGGTACCTTCATCTTCATCTTCAGCATCTTCTGCCTCCATTGGATCATATTCTTCTTGGTTATTATCATCTTCAGTTTCCTCTTCATCTTTAGAATCATCTTTTCTTTTATCTTCCCTCTGAAACAAAAATAGACCAAGTCAGAACTAAAAAAACCCAGTAAAGTGAAAGCAATCTCACTACATTCATTCAAAACTTGAGTATGTTTATATTCAGTCATCAAATTAAAGAAGTATATACAAATCTTAAGTGATATAGCTGAAATGTTAGTTAAAATATTCTAAAATAAATTAAACCTGTAAAGTTTTTAATGACTGAATATGACAGAAGCAAGTTTGAACAGATGAGTCAAAAATTAACTAAATACAACAAAAACAGCTTTAGAAAGTAGAGAAAAAAACCCAGAAAGCAACAGTTTAATCTTGATCCAGGCAGGATAGTAGTCTATGTAAGCTAGCTGCAGACCTTCTTTTCATCTCTATCTTCTTTTTTATCTTTGTCATCTCCAGATTTTCTCCTCTTGGGTTTTGGTTCATCATTTTCATCATCTTTTTCTTCTTTTTTTTCTTTTCTCTCATCTTTTTTGCCTTTTTTGTCTTTTTTGTCCTCCCTCTCTGGGAGGGAAACCAGGGCTTTGTAAATTCTGACACCAAAATCCCTCTGAAGCATTTCATTGAAGAGTTCTGCAAACAATGACACCTGCATGCAAAGAATAATGAAAAGGAGATGGCAAAAGATTTTTTAGAATATATATATTCATTTGTTACAATTTGTAACATTTGTAACAATTGCAATTAAATAGCTATGAACTGCTGTATTACCAAAGTTTTTATATATATATATATACACACACATATATACACACACACTGCTGTTCTAAGCTCTGTATCAAAGGCTAGGCAATTTTTTTTTTTTATTATATGTATGGCACAAAAAAACCCTAATTTTACTTAGTTTTATTTTACCATGCTATCATATACTTTTACAATTTAAGAACACAGCAGTTACCATGCGGAATTAAAAGAATCAAAAGTGGCTGGATTATAAGATTATATTCACCTGGAAGGCATCAGCTTTTTCCTCAATGCAACATCTTAATATAGAGCTCACTAAAACGTTGCTTTACTATAGCGGTATGACTTAATTACCTCAAAGGAATGCTCTTTATTATCTTCCAATCTATAGTCCAGAAGAACACTAAGAGACATAATGCTACAATCAAACTTTCCACTTTTTGCTGCCCAGTTAGGATGTACAATGATTGCTGGCTCATCAGGCAAGATGTATCGCCTCTCTCGCCGTTGACGTTCCATTTCTTCCTGCCGCTTTCTTTCTTCTTCCCTAAAAAGAGAGGGGGGGAAAAAAACACCACAACACAGCATATTCCAGAGGAGCAATTTCAGTCTATGTATTAGCTTTAAAGACTCACCGCTTTCAAGAAAGTGAAAGAAAGCCTAAGCTGCTGAACAGTGTAGATAACTGACAGAAATTACGGGCCAGAATTTCCAGAACACATACCGCGTCCACTGCCTCACCTAAAAAGACTGGCAATCCAAGCAGCACAAAATGGGGCATGCATTGTTGTTTAACCCAAGCAGCAACAAGCACTTCTAACTATCTTATGGCGCTAATTGCGGCACGCTTACTCGACAGCGAAGGGAACCAAACTAATTCATTTCAAGATACAGTATGCAAGCTAGCAAGGGAGTTGATGGCTCTGTTTGGGGTGTTTTATGAGTTGTAGAGGGAAATCTTACTGTATCTTAGGACAGGAACAATAAAGGCTTCTTGCATCAGTTTCCCAAAGATATATCCAACACAGCTTTAACAATTACCAGGTGACAATTTACTCAGCTCTTTTGGTCACGAGAAACACAACTTTTATAGATGCAACTAATGCAAATCAAACTAAAGGTTAAAAAAGGTAAAAAAAACCAAGTAGCTTATTGATCACCAAGACAGGAGCAATACAGAATTACAGAGCATACAAAAAAAGTAAACTAGGGGGGGGGGGAGGGAAGGGAGAAGAAGTCAAGCACAGTCAAACCTCCCTGCCCCTAATCTGGAAAAAAAAGGCTGTCGCAAGGAACCCCAAGTTAGTTCAGGCCACCCAAGCTGTGGGAGAAGGCAGCAGTTAACAGAAACAGCAAGCACATGGCCTTGCTCCCTCACCAAGGGAAAGGCTTATACAAGTAGATAAAATTTCAAATTATGTCATGATAATTAGCAGTAAGACAACACAAAAAGGCAGGTTTAAAAGTAAAACACACAATAACTTGTCTGTACATTCGTGTCCCTTTTCTGCAGTTGGGCTTTGACCTTACTGCACATATTTTGTTTATCTTCACAAAATAGCAAAAAACACTAAAAAGTATTGAAACTACTAGTTGCAAAACTGAAGGGGGAAAAACAAACAAAAAACCCCATGCCTTTCAGTATGTAGGAAGTCTATCAAAAATGCAAATTAAAGTTTCATAATAAAGACAAACCTATGCAAACAGTTAGCCACACAAAGGAACTGAACTGGTTGAGACAATATAATCTTTCACAGACTAAAAACAAACAAAAAAACCCATAAAACCAAAAAGCCCCACACTTGCACAGTAATTTGCTAAGGCTTGTATGCCGTTAAACGCCAATACAACTAAGCAGCTGCTTTGCATAAACGTTTAAAAAGTTAAGCTCTTGTTAAATGTGTTCATCTATCTACTCACAGGACACATAAGGGGAGGGTGGTTTTTTTTGTTTTGTTTTTTAAACTTTTATAGTCTGACATCAATTCAGATGCCTTCAGTGCAGCTGACTTTGCTGATATGAAGAAAGTCAAACCTGCCAAGATTTCACTCCAATTCAGCAGCTCAGGTTACAGAAAGAGTTCCCAGTCCAGTCAGCTAAGAACTATAAAAATCTCAACACAACTAGACAAAAGTCCTGTGCTTTTTATATTTATATATTTATTTATACAGATTTTTATATGTAAGATTTTATATATTTAGTAAGAATTAAACCAAACATGTCCAAAACCTAACCTCTTTGTCATCTTCAGACTTCCTATCCTCCTCCTCTTCCTCTTCTTTCTCAGATTTCTCTAGCTCCTTTTGCTCTTCTTTTTGTTCCTCTACTTTCAGCTGCTTTGTCAGGCGAGCTATCAACTGAGATTTCAGTCCTTTAGAGCTAAGAGTTCGACTTTCTAATTCTTTGCGAAGGTCATTTACCTGGTAAATAGAAGCTCTGTAAGTGGTATCAACCAGTGATATTGCAAAACATGTGATTAGCAGAAAACGTGAAGTAAAAGTTAAATAAGAGCACTGAAAGTCAACTGTATTTTTTTAAATCAGCATTAGGAAAAACAGTAATATTTACTGATATAAAACTACATTTAAAGTTGTGTTCTCAAAGAACCTGGTTTTTGAGCGGCTTTTCACAGGGGCAGGGAAAGGATTTGGTAGTTTAATACCTATTATTCCTTTCAAGGAAGCTTTTTATTATGTCTCCTGGCATACGTTTTTGCATAATTATTGCCTTTTTAAACTAATATTAAAGTATTTTAGACGCCACATTTTGGTATGTAAGTAGATATGGCCAGATTACCGCAGAACTTTCATTTTCCAGTTAAAAAAGCTGTATCGTATGTGATACACTGAAGTTGTACAAGGTTCAAAAGTTCAGAAGAATTTCAGTTAGCTGTATTTGCTTATTAAAATCAGAAGTCACACTTGCATACTGCAACCTCACATCCAAGTCAATTACCTATAAAATTAGCAAGGAAGGCAAACCACTACTAAAGACTTTTCCGCAAGGGAAAGGGAAATACAACTATGTTTTGGGTCTGCCTTAAAAGGGAAGATGTACAGTTGAAGAAAGAAAAAAGAAAAAAAAGTTACCTTCATGGTTTTTGGATCCAGTTTAGACCAGTGCGTAGGTGTAGAGATCTCTTTAGCTTCCCCATCATCCTTTTCCTCTTCATCCTGACAAATAAAATTAAAAAATTATCATTCAGAAAGCTTGAAAGCCTTTCATTTACTTTTTAAATTCTGTTGCTGATCTGTGCAAGGTCACAACTGTTTCAGATAAGTCTTCTCCTAAAGTTATCATTTAAACAAGTTCACACATACATTCTACCACTTTATAAATTATCACAGTGCCACTCAGCCAATACAAGCCAGATCTGCGGAACACAAAAGGGTGATAAGCAACACCACAAAGAATGTCGGGGTTACACAGACACTGCTGGTCTCCATTAACCACACAGTGTGTGATCTTCCCCCAGATTTTAAAACCCCAAAGTTACTCTTTGTTCAGTCAGACCTTCCCTTATTCCAAGATGCTGATCAGCCAGATGGCCTGAAATTCAGATGTTTCAGACTAATGTTTGTTCAGTTTCAAATACCACAATTAGAACTGGCCACAAGAGAGAATTTAGAAATTTTAGAAAATGGCAAAATGTTTAAAGACAGCTATTCATAAACTGCATCTCACTCAACAACTGGTCCCAGATTCCAGCAACTACTTCTATGATAAAAATTTTCTGCGCATCATAAGCACAATTTAATTCCATTTGTGATATCAGCATACACAATTTAAGTTAGTATACTAGCTGAAATAAAAATAAAAACCAACATTCGCTACACTGCTGAAAGCTGGTTTACCAGTCATTGTTACCAGTTATGTTCCTCCTATGTATGTATGTTGTGTAGCATGTGGTGTGCATTTTGTGCCTGTGTTCCTGTGCCTGTGAGAAGCAGAAATAGAAAAAGGGATTAGCGTTCAGTGCCTGTTCTCCATCAGCCTCCTTGCGTTCACCCTGAAGCTTCTCGACCAGCTGCTGCTTGTATCCTCGGGAGAGGGTTTCCCACTCTGAGCGGGTGGGAAGGCAATGCCAAACATCCGGGAAAAATAAAACCACTGTCTCCACATGAGCTGGAACTGTACGCCCCTTGTGGGTCTCCTCAGGGCGATGGTAGCGAATCTCTGCAAAACGGTACCTGTTGCAAGGGAAGAAGCATGTTGGAAAAAAAATTCTACAATACATTTTAAAGAGCCTAGATCACTTGTAGCACATCAAGTAAAGAAACTTTGCTGCAAGACCTTGAGGTTTATCTAAAGAAAAAAATTATGGAAGCCATATTTTCTCTTTTGGCACATTTGAACAACGCATCAGAATTTAAAAGACGAACCAACGATGTGCTCTTTTATGTAACTTGTTATGTAGCACAAGTAAGCTCAATGTGCAAATAAAAAGAGTTGAAGCACTTCAAATTTAGCATACAATAGACTTTCCTTATATTAGTAGAACTGCAATAAGCGTCAACACAGGTCAAATAAATTCATCAAGAGAAAATATGGCTATAACCAACAGCTAATTATTTATAACAAAAGAACAATGAAATGAAGTTCTCTTGACGATCTTCTCCAGCTATGCACAAAACAAAAAATATTTTCAACATACATTCATTAACAAATTACAGTAACATGTCAAAATAAATTCAGAATTTTTAATTAGTTCTTAATGCATTATTCAGCACAGTTGGCATCAATCAAGCTTATTACAAAACAGAACATTCGAGTAGTTTACCTGCTCTACCACAAGTGGCTGACAAAGAAAAAGGTGGTTTTCACTTTTTTTTTATTTTTTATTTTTATAAGAAACAAGTATTTCTATAGCATATTTTGTTTTGCAGGACAGTACTTACCATTGTGTGCACACACTTAAGTCAATCCCCGTAAGAGCCTTGCAACAACGAATAGCCGTCTTTATCAGCACCGAAGGGTCCTTTTCTGGATCAGGTCCATCCAGTGAGGGGGACCAGTGTCCTCCAATAGCCATAGCTTCATCTTTGCCTTTCATACCCACTAAAAACTAGACAAAAAGAATCTTCTGAATGTTCCCCTGCTAGGGGGTAAAAAGTCACTTTCCCAAAGCGTAAAGAATATTTCATAGCACACACATTGAAATCCATGAGTAAACTGTTACATTATTTTGAAATCTGAAAACGAAAGTCAGTCAAGAAAGAGTTCAGTTATTTTTTTCCACAGAGTATTTCAGAAATGGAATAGGTTTAAAACATCATCACTCATTCTTGTTCTGCAAGACTTTCCATCAAGTTTCTGTATAGGTATAGGCTTGTTCTTTTGCAATTAGAAGCCTTCTAACACAACAGACAAACATGAATTCAAATGGTGTTTTAATTCTGGTAGACACATGTATAGATGTTCCTGCTTAACAGTGATAAAGCAAAGCTACAAGAGATAAAAACCGCAGAAGCATTATCAAATCTGTAAGTTCCAGTACTTCCATTGGCTTTAAGATGACTAAATTTAATTAGAAAACAACAAATCTGTGTTGTCTTGAAACACTATAGCACTTACTGAAGCTACAACAGTTCGTTCATTTTAATAACGATGGCTAAATTTGATAGTTACTTAACTGTTGCTTCATTTGTATTCTCTTCATAGCTGAGCCCTTATAGTCTACATGCTTGTTTTAAAAAAAAAAAAACTAACAAAGTTAATTATATAATAGATTTCTCTAAATATCTATACTTTGACCAAGTTGAAGAAAGCAGTAAATATGAACGCAAGGATGATAAAGCTCCAATAAAACAGAAAAAGGAGAGAGACATACAAACTAGGTCTCTTCAGAGGAAGAATGAAACCGTCATTTAGCCTATGAACTCCTCCCTTACTGACAAGTACTTTAAAGCTCTGTAACCAACCTTCATTGCCAAGAGTATCTGGCATTGAAGCATATTTACCTTTACAAGTCTAGCAGGATGCTGAAATCCATCACGAAGTTCTTGGGGATCTTCAGCCAGAGCACATGACTTATGATAGAGATCTTCCATACTAGGACTAGCCATCAACATCACCTGTTGTGTAAGTCAGATCAATCTTGTAAAGGTCTCCCACCATGACTGGTGAACAAAGCCCACAGCTTGCAAGCACTTACACACATACCAATGCTTTTTCTTAAGGTCACAAAAATCAGCGTACGTAAAGGTTAAGAACACAGTTCTAAAACTGTGTTCTTAAAAATGCCACTCAAAGATCTCTTTCACTCCCCACCATTCCATATCCATGAACTGTGTATGGAGTGAAAGTATATAAAAGCAACATGCAGAACTACTATACTACTTAGCATATTATTACTGAATGCACTAAATAAAAAAGCACAGCGAGTACATTTCTGGTTTCACTCACTGACTTCATCCATTTTGCCACAGTTACAAGAGAACTGGCCTAACACACTCATCAGCCTCTTCTTAGTACCCTGCTAGTCTGGCCAAATCCAACGAGGTTGCCTTCTAACCTAAACAGATTACTCTAACTGAGGAGTAGCATGTCTGTTTCATTAATGACGATGCTTTGAAGCTTAACTTTCAGAGAGTTCTTGCCCATTATCACTAGAATGAATAAAGCGATATATCTGATACCTGAGCCACCGCTTCAAAAATTTTACAGACAGAAGGCAAGTTAAGTAAATCTTTCAGAAACAGATTAAAAGCAGCTTTGTTTCTAAACATATCTTTAATGGTAAATACTTTTAAAACAGATTGACCTAGAAATCTCAGACCTATTTTAATGCAAAAGCTTTCAAATGGAAGGTTTTGGAAGAGTTTTGACACTGAGGTCCTTAATGCAGCATTATGGCCCTTGATACAGAATTACTTGACATTCAGATAGTCTTAATATGCGCAATCTATCTTCAACAAGATACTAAAGACTGAGATGAATTTGAAAGGAGTAAGAAAAAAAAAAATCACTAAACGGGAGAACCAAAACTACACAGAAAAGATCCCTAAAGGGGAGAAGGAAAAAAAAAAAAAAAGAAAAAGACCGTGGGGCAGGAGGAGGCTACATTAACTGTTCAGCACGTATTGCCTAAGGACTGCACTCAGAGATCCTGCAGGAGCTGGTTTTCCTGCCTATAATTAAGTCAATGCAACTGGGTGCAGAGAGTAGGAAAAAAAAAAAAAAACTCAGTACAAATAAGATGCAACAGGATAAACAAACCAAATTTCAATCATGATTTTTCAGATTCTATATACCAGCTCTTTATTGAAAAGTTTGAAACACTGTTTTGGTGAGATCATTGTAGCCTACTTTCAGCTCAGTTGTACCTAGCTTTTTGCCTTACAGGTAGAAAAATTTCTAATGGAGGGTCATAATACAGGAGGCTGCACAAACCTTTGCACTGTACAGATGATCAGCATCAGGTGGATCAAGAACAGCAGCATTTTTATCTATAGGATCTACTTCTCTATGCATTACGTAGAAATTACAGTAGTTTCCCAGCTGAAATGGTCTAGACATAGGAAAAGCATCCACCCATGTAAACTGAGCATCAAAGAAATCGCTCGGGATATACAAGTTCTGGTAACGCCGCCTCAGTTCCATCATATCACAGCTACGGCTGAAATAGACAATATTTTTTGAAAGATACAACAATAAAAGAAAACAAAAAAAGGACAGCATTAAGAGGAATATTCACTGGAAATACAACCATCTTCTACCTAAACTAGAAGAGCACTATTTCAAACTGTGAACTTTTAGACCAGGAACCACATGCGAACCTGTAAACAGCCATACATCAAAGTCTTAAAATATTTGATAATTGTGACCATTTAAAGAGTCATGTATAATTATTAAAGTTCGAAAATGAGTAACTACTAAACATTCTTTAATTAAGATGTCTACATATTAAGGAATATTTAATAAATAGCATTATAAAGGTATTTCGCAGTAGCACTGGAAAATAAGAACCTAGTAAGTTTATTATAAGTTTATCAGCCATTACATATTTGATTTTTCTTTGAAGTTCAAATCATTATCTAACATTCACTACACGTTTGTGTTGACACTGCTCTCAGAAATCTGAACCCCCTAATAAAATGAGATCTTCCAAGTAAAAGTCTCGCACTATAAACATACCAGTCCAACGAAAACTTGGAAAACTGAACCGTGTAACGAGGAACAACACGTCGTGGTCTTCGAGGTGATCGTTCCCTCTCTCGTCTAGGTGATCTCTCTCTGGAGCGTTTTCTCTGGGGTGATCTTTCCCGGGACCTACGTCTCTCTCTTTCTCTTTCGCGACTTAAAAAAAAACATACAAGATGTACATATTTTTCCATGCTAGTAACAAAAAAAGCTTTCTAGAATGACATAGCACAATAAAAGCTAGAACTGTCACTGATGATTCATAAAGGAAGATGAGAAGTTCCAAGTAATTTGTTTCAGTACATTGTCTCTTCTTTAAAAGAGAGACTGACTATGCAATTCTTTCACTACAGATAGACAAAAATTCTTTACCAATACTCTTTACCAAGTAAAATTGCCCGTGTGTATCACTGACTCAACATGGAGCAAAAAGCTCCAGATAATCAAAGCCTTCTACAGAGATCTGACATCAAGAACGTACCTCCTGTCATCTTTTCGGTTTGGCATAGAGTCTCCTCCTCTGTCATTCCTCCCAGAGAATCTGGATGGCGGGTCTAATCTTCGAGCTGGTTGAGGCTGTGAAACTATACGAACAGGGGGCTGCAGCAAGCCAGCTGAAACAAAAACGTACAAGATGAATACATAAGAGGGGGCAACTCTCTACTCCATATCATTAGAAGATTGACTTTGCAGTGGTCTTGAGAGATGCATACCAGCGAAACAACCGTTAATGAGCAAACAAATCACCAGCAAATAAATCTACCCCACCCTCAGCAAAGAGGCCTACATCCTTTCCCACTGATAAAGACAGAAACACCTTCCAATTTATTTTAAAAGAACTGAAATTTGTTTAAAGTATCTTTGAAATTTGTTTAAAGTATCTTAAGATGGAAGTAAGACAATCTAAGCAAGAAGAAGTTATAACCATAAATATCTACCCCTTTAATTGGAAATGTAATTGAATACAGATATACTACATACTCATTGAGCTAAAGAAAACCTAAAACTTAATTTTGAGTCTACTCAAAAAAAAAAAAAGCTTCTTTGTAAAAATTATTCTTGAATCAATAGATTATACATTAACATACATTATTATATGTATTAATCCCCCAACACATACTTTTGCTATCTTAAGACAATACACACTTGAGTGACTAACTGTAAACGGAGAAAACATTACTGCATTCTGCTGAACACCTAGGACCAATTAGATTCTACTAAGCATTTATCCGGAAGAGGTTTTCGCTTAGGTAGTAGTTTAAGAGCTTCTCCCCCGACTTTTATTGTGGGTAAGAAGCACTGTGGGTCTTATTAACAATCCTACTGCTTATTCTTCAAAGTGCAAGTGACAACACAACCTTGGGTTTTAGTTTGTCATGTTCAGCACGGTTTATTCCCTAAACACCAACTTGGCTGACTAAAATAAACAAGTAAAAAACATACAGAGAAATAACACATTTTTAAGAATACTGCTGCGGGAAACTTGATCTTGTTAAACACTCCAAAAGATACTGAAGAATTACACTGATTAATATTTTCGACTCCTCAGTTTGACCGTGAAACTCTCAGGAAAAATAAAAATGTAGAATTTGTTTTCAAACTATGAAATCCTAAGAGGAATGACAGGAACCCACACAAAGTTCACTAACTAGGCGATTCCTGAGCTTTTGCAGGTAATGTGATTTGCATATCTAACTTCCCACAGCTATATTCAGACAGAAAAGTAATGATCCTCCCCTTCTACAGGATCCTATTCGCGTTACTTTCCCTGTTACTTCAGTCTTCTGAAAACAGGATTAAACATCACACTAAGCACAAGGAGAACAACAAACTTTGTAAACTGAAGGAGTACCTTTCTGCTGCGGCTGCTGCAGTAACGGCTGAGGCTGCGTCTGAAGCAAAGGTGTGATTGAAGCAGCCGAAATCTGTGCCTGCAACAAGGACTGTGGCTGCGGCTGTGCCTGAACACTGAATGCAGTTTGCTGCGCGATGGGCTGAAGTACTGCCGGAGGTGTCTTGAGTAAAGGCTGAGCTTGAGCCTGGTTCTAACAGAAGAGGAGGAAACAAGTTGTGAAAGAACTTAAACGGGAAGTAGTCAAGTATAAGCTAGACCGGGTAACCAGCTATACCTGATTTGGAAGTGTCTGGATCCTCTGCGCATTCCATTTGAACGGCATATTAGGATTATAGGTAGCTTCTACCAAAACTCTGTCGCCCACCTGAGGGGTCTTTCCTTTAACAGCACTGCAAATATTGCAGAAAGTGTATTGTGAGAGTCTTACTAAGCTACAGGAGCAAGTTTTATACTTGAAAGTCACGTTTGAAGTTGGGGGAAGTAGTGGAAGTTCATTAAAAAAGCTTATAGGAACAGCATCTACTCCAAATTCAGTGAAAGCACTATCTGCTTCAGATAGGAGCATATACAGGAATTTTATTCCCGTCTTTGGTCCAAGAGTACTTCCCCAAATTGTACTGGGTTAAGATACACAGATAGTGAATTGCATGCATTTCTCCACCACAAATTCGGCAGTTTTGTATTATAAAGAACTTAGCAACTTCTGAGACGCCTAGCTTTGGCTTTTGCACGAAGAAAATTCATGTAAGGAACTAAGATCTAAAAACTATTAACTTATTCAACCATCTGACTTTCAGTGTTGATAGAAAAGCCATACTGACTGCAAATATTATCCCCCGAACAACAGATTTAGAATGCAGTAATGTAAAACCTTTTATTTAGCATGACTGAGTACATCTACAAGCAAGTATTTACCCCTTACCTAAGCTGAAAAAAGACATCTTCATCCACAAAACCAAATGTATCATGTAGCTTAGTAACTACCCCAGTGAAGACACGCTGCTTTTGTGGTTGGGTTTGCTGCTGACTTGACCGGGGTGCTGGATAAGAAACAGTTATCTGGGCTGCTGGTTGAGGAGTAGATAGGCTAAGACTGGTAGGCAGTGCAACAGCTGGCTGTAAGCAAAATAAAGCAAATTCTATAAATCTTATGACTTGCTGACATACCTACAAGGAACAGTTCCCTCTACTCATGTAGATAGGATCTCCCTAAAGTAATTATTCTTAATGGAGATTTTTCACAATATGGAAGTCTATTTTATTTTAAGATGATTTTTTTCTATGTGAAATGCAGACTGGCTTTGCTTATCCTTTTCTTTTCTAAGAAAACTCAACTTTCCCAAAATACACAGTCTAGAAAAAGAGAGAGAGAGAGAGAGAGAGAGAGGAGAGAAATGACTGCATACAGGTTCCTCATACAATGAGTCTGAAGAGGGAATAAGCTCCTAGTTTTGCTAGGAATATACGCTCAGAGATCATTCTCCATTCACATACCAACTGCATTGTCGCAGGTCAATAAAGGAATTGAGACTAACAAGAACCCTTCTCGTAACTTGAAAATTCACGCGCTTGCCTTCTTACAAAAGCAGAATAAGGAGGCAGAGCACAAGTTTTACTGAGAGATATAATGAAATTAAGTAACCTATTTTTACTTCATGCTTTTTAAAAAACATTCTGAAAGTTAAGTGAAAACAGATTGTGAACAATTTACAATGTGCTAAATGGTTTCACCTCAGCAAGATACCTTTCACGCTCAGCAAGATTCTTTTCAAACATCTATATACACATACTGCAATACTGTTAACACAGAAAGTTAAATTCCTTCTCAAAGGAGAAAAAGAGTTTCCCTATGTGTTACTTACTTCAAAACACTGAACACTTGAAGTTCAAACTGAAAAAGTAATCAAAACACCTACTCCCCTTTAAGATTAAGGAAAAGGGTATGCTGCTCAGTTGTTAGAACCAAGGCTATGCATATTTTAACATCTGGATAAAATATACCTGTACCAATAAAATGTCCATTCATATTAGTTCATTTTACAGATTAAGCCATTCAAGAAGTCACAAAATTTGCACTCTTGTATTATCTGTGTTTGGGGGATGAAGACCAAACAATAAAACCAAACTAACCTGGGTTAAAATGGTCTGCTGAGGTTGCTGCAACTTAAAATAAATAAAAAGTTATAAATTAATTTTATATGCTTCAGGAAACTGTACAATTTTACCTCCTCTTTACAAGTAAGTTTTTGCTTAATCTGAGTCAGTTAATAGTCCTTTGGGCTTTGGTCATTTCAGCAGTTTGCATATCCATAAAATTGTGCTTATGTGATTAATTTTAGGATCATATGATCCAGGTTTATTCAGTAAGCAGAAATGCCGTTTCCTTGTAACTGAAAAGTAATAGCAATATCAAAAAAAGGTTTTGGCAGCTGAAGGTTAGGCCGATAATTTTCACGTTTATTTTTTCTTTTTCAAAATCCGGTAAGCTCAAAGATGACCGTAAGATATGTAAAAGGCAACTTTTTTGGACAGCATCTTTCCAGCAGTTAAAATACACGGCCCTGTTTAGAGCAAAGTTTAGCAGGAATCAGGTACACATGGAATGGTATATTTTTAATGTCCTCTTTGCATGAAGGTAGGCAGGCTCCCACTCTGGATACATCTCTCCACATTTGTGAACTTCAAGTTCTCTTTCACTATAAAAAAATATTAGTTTCCTTAACAACTTCCCATACAAGGTTGATTTTTGGAGATAAATCCTACGAGACACACAACCAACATTATTTTTTAAAGTTATTTGTGATGTACACAGTAAGAATCAGACAAACCTGTTGCTGTACACTATAGAGAGTCTGTTGAGGTTGTGAATATTGCTGAAACAGATAAAAGCAAAATATCTCATAAACAGGAAGTATTATTACCCCCAAAACGCCAAATACAAGTTATCTGTTAAGCCCGTTTTAGATGGAAACTATTCACATTTAACAACCGTATTACAAAACACACTGAATGCTATCAACACATATTACCCTTATAACAAATATTCTTAAGACTTTAGACTGGACCTCTGATGTACTCTTCCTAGGTAAAATTTTACTTTGGCAATTTTCGCTAAGCCTGACACTTAAGAAGTATCTAGGACACAGTATGAAATCATGCAAAATGCTATCAAGGTTACATATGGTGACTGGAGATACTCAGAACTTTAAACGTTCAGTTTAGTGGCAGCAAAATTCTTTTTCCTGAAATGCTCTTCACAGCTAAGATCAAGCAGAAATTCTCCCATCTTCATAAGATTAATACTACTATCAATAGCTCTAGACCTATAGTACCCCAGTTTTTAATCAAGTTTATACTGCAAAGGTAACATTTCCCACTTGTTTTTCTGCTAGATACTTTAGCTTCATAAAGTCACTGTTTCGGTATCGTTACAGTTCCTACAGACAATAGCAAGTACTTCTTCTTTACCTGCTGTAACGCAGCTGCTGCGGCTGCAGCTTGCTGCTGTAAAGCAGCTGTCTGAGTTAGCTGATAGTTGGTTGGTGTTTGCGTAGTTAGGCCTGCTGCCGCCAATGCTGTCTGCTGGGTGTATATTGTAGGAGAGGCTCCAAGCAATGATGGCTGCTGTACACCAAGAGCAGCTGAAAAGAGAACAAACACAAGCACTAAGAGTAACTTTAAATAAAGGATGCTTCTGGCAGTTGCAGTACTGGAAGCAGTATGTGATGCTCCACTCCTGAGTCAAGGTCATAAAGTAGATAAGCCCAATGCCAACAAGTAAGATAAAGGCTTACACCTTGCTAGCTTTTCTTCTAAATTTAGCTAGAATTAGTGCACCACAGTAGAGGCAGAGAGACTCTTTCATTTCCTTCTCTCAAGTTGCTTATGATTTGTTAGCTCTAGTAGTTTAACACCCCCTCCCGCCCACACACACACAGTGTCCTTTCTTGGTCATATTTCAGTTTTTGGATGATGATGGTTGCTCTGTTCTGTAAATTCATTAGAATTGCATTTTAACTTGAACCAGACTGAGGACAAGAGAAATCACTGCTGTAATAGCAGCTACGAAACCAGAAGTTACGGAACACATCCTCTGGAAAGGCATAAGGCTTCATTTCACTCAGGACTGTCTTTGTGCTTGAGGGAGCTGGACTTCGTAGATGTGGGGGCTGGTAGAGAAGGGACATCCTTGTAACAACAGGGACTCCAGTCAGTCCCCAAATATAACGGGACCAACTCAGGCTCTCCTCAGCTCCCACTAGGAAGGGTTTGGGCTGCCCAGACTCAATCCGCCTAGGAAGAATTAGTTTATTTTATTGCCAAATCAAATTCTCACTCATGGTAGAAGATTATCCAGATCATGAGAAGCAGCTGTCTATATGCTTCACTTCTTGTGCAACCAACACTTCTGATCAAGATAGGCTTAAGGCACAGTTGAGGCACTTTTAGAGACAGGAAGACCTGCACAATTCAAATCAGAGATTCTGAAGAACTGCAAATGGTTCTGAAAACCTGCTGCCTCTGGCAGGAATTCTTAATAAGTTATTTGCAAGTGGATCGTCAAACATCACTTCACCAAGCTATCAGCGTAGTCCACGCGCTTAAAATAGAAAAGCTATGAGAAATTCAGTGCAGAAACATCTTGCCAACAAAAACAGGTCAGCCAGCCACCTCCAGAACTGAAGAATATTTGAGCTGAACAGGGTTCCTTTCTTTTCCAAGCTATTATAGATAGGCAATGAAATTAAGAATAGATTTATTATATTCTTCCTGCAGCATTTGTGCTCCACACACCATTGTTACAGATCCAAAAATGAAGCCCTCATTCCTGATCTGGGGAGGCAATAAGAGACTGCTTTGTACTTGGTGACCACCATCATAAAATACACAAAGATGCTGTAACCAACTCAACAGTTCCTGAATGAAGTGACTTCCTCTACCATGCTGTTCTTTCCAATAAAGTACAGTTTTTAGGGAACAAATTGATGGCTTTGAGCTTCTTGAAATTTCAAATGAAACATGGAAATAAATCATTAAACAACTGTGTAAATCTCAATGGCTATGATCTGTATCAAACACTGTCACGTAAGTATTCTAGGAGATAATACTATTTTAATAATGAAATAAGTAAGCATTCCATAGTGCAGCAAAATTACAATACTTCCAGTATTACAGAACTTTTTTCCCTGGAAAATTCCAGCATTTGTTTTACTTTAGAAGCCAGAGAAGCCAATTCTGAGGCTTCTCCCATGACATGCCCTCTGTTCCCCTGATCCTCTTCCTTACTCCTTCTCCCTCTATCAGTTCCTCTTTGAAAGCATACTTTCGACCATCCAGAACCACGCTCTCATCTGGAATATCACCAATGCCTTATATAATGCAACTTAAACAGTTCTTTAAATCTAACAAAAAAATCTAATAAAATAATCTAATTGCAGCTGCATCCTAGGACAGCTTCCATCGTTCTTGGCTGCATTACTCTGCTAGCTCACTCAAAGCAAATAAGAGGAGAAAGATTAATGCACTTGTTATTCCCAAATGCTAAACAGAAATTCCTATTGGCACACAAATTCACTTAACGCTATTACCTTTGAACCTGTTTGACTACCCTAGCCATCATCATTCAGTCCCTCTGATTCTAATGTTGTATTCTATTGTGATGAAGATGGGAAACATTGTCATCAAGCAGGTTTCATGAGCTCTCCCCTACTTTTTGTAGGGGGATACTCACAAAAATATTAAAATGCTTCGTCCCAAAACCAGATCTTCAGTTACTCTGCTCTGCCATTGGTTACGCTAGCCATTAGGACAATTTTCCTTTCTGCAGGACCCACAAGTATCTCTCTCTCATGCAATTCTCAACCCACACTACTACTCTTATCCCATCTTCTCCATTTAAATAAAGATTTTGCCACCCCTGCTGTCACTTTCTTAGCTTTCAATATTAACTGGGTGCCACGTTATTATCTACAACACTGCGCTCAACTTGCCAACGAAGAGCAAAGGTCAGAAGGGTGTTGAGATCCCCCACAGACTAACATTTGTAGTAACAAGTATTTCATAGCCGCATCTTCTTCCTACTCAAATATTTCAAGAGTTTAATCTGACCATCTTTTATTTATGCATCAACCTCAACCAAACAGGTGCTGATAAAAACAATCAATCATGTTTGCCATACTAGAAAAAAATAAATAAATAAAAATCCCAGAGTCAAAAACTGACCCAGTCTGGTACTGACATCTGACTGCTGTATTATGATTATTGCCAACAAACATCTGCAGTGACAAACAATAGCTTCTTAGGAATTGTAATTATCACCCAGTAAGTACAGTGACAGAAACGCCTTCCTTCAAATGAAGTCTAGTAAACAATTTCCACTGGTGCCAAACACTGCACGACATTGAAGTTGGGAAGGGCTTGGATATAGATCGGAGTCCCAGGCCGCGGCATCTTCCTAGGTAAAAGGAGTTTCTGTTGCAGCAAACAAATTCAAAAAAAAGACAGTATTAAGTGGTCTCTCTTGATGCTTAATTCCAGAGACTCTTTAAGATGAGGAAAATATCTTCAAAGTATGTAGATACAGCCTCATGGTAAATGATACAGATTTATTAGGATTATAATAAAGGAGTACCTATCCAGGGCTTTGGGAATTTTTCACAATTGTCAGAAACTGCGTTTGGGGATATTGGTTTTTTGTTTGTTTTAGCAGTTTAGTTTGGGTTTTTTTTCTTTTTCAGATCTGCAAATCCAATTTTAGACAGCAGATAGTAATTAGCAGGTAGCAATTAGTAATTAGTAATGGTGCCTAAAAAAAAAAAAAAAAAAAGTTTCTTCAAGCGCAACACACATGCCATGTAAATGCCGGCTAATCCTCTCCAAAAAAATCCCATCAACATGCACCCAACAGAAATCAGGTTTAGCATATTCATTACAGGACATGCCTTTACAGCAAATCAACAAATTGTGCATCAGCTTCTATTTCTTAGTGGATCTGAGATCCACAGTCCCAGAACAGCCACAGGGAACATTTTGGAGAAGCGTCACTATATGCTTGTCCTACACTTAGGCTCTTCTTTAGACATCTCATATAGGCCACCACCAGCAATAACAAGATATTGAGCTTCAGGGACTTTTGTTTTCATCAGGTGCACAGTTCTTTCATTCTAACGCAATGAAGTCCCGATATAGCAAAGACGATGACAACGCTCATCAATCAGAACCAGGTACAGCTAGGACTTGACCGTGACTAAACAAGAGCTTTCAGAGCCAAACTCTTAAGTTCTATGAAAAGGAGCTTTTCACTACGCAACAATCAATCTTGAAGATGGTATATACTAAGCACAGAGATACAAACCAAAAGACATGTCAAAAATCAACAGCTGAGGGAACAGAAGGGGATTCTTCTTCAGGGGATGTCTGAGGAAACTAGTCATCATCACAAGTCTGCAGGCATACTGACAAAAAATAATCTGTGTTATCTAGGGTTTTAATCTTCTGCAGCAGAAATTAATTTATTTTTAATTAATTTAATTTCTGCTTTAACTATGCTTAACCAGCATAATAGAGACTTTATTCTGGTTTTAATCATGTGATGCATGAAACCATTAGACAAGATCTTGAGAAACAATTTCACTGTGTTGCAAGTAGGAGTCTCTCTTGCCATACAAAGAGGCTGGCACCTGGAATCACCTGCCTGTCTTCTAATACCAGAGGCACAAAAGTAAGTAGTGAGCTATCCCAAAGAAATTCCAGGAACCCCTCATTACACGTATGTCACTCTACAACTATGTAGCACTGTCACACCTTACTAATTAAGGGTCCTAACTCACATAGTTACTTCTTGACCAGGGATTGCCAGGACAACATGCAAGTCAAAGCAAAACACTCCTGATATTACCTTTTTGCAATTATAAAACTAGCTTTATAACATCACTGGTAAAGATGAGCAAAACTAGTTCACTTTTGACTACAACTTAGGAAAAAGCTATAAAGCACGTTGCCTGTGTTACGAAAAATCAAGACCTATTCTCCCCCATATGCAAACATTTGATGCTTTGGAGAAGGAACGTGATACTTGGATAAAGACAGCTGGCATCCATAAACATATAAACACACCTTTTGGCAATCCTGTGAAAATATACCAAATTTTGCTAAGCTAGGCGCGCACGCTTTTTTAAAATCAGTCTATGAATACTGAAACTTGCAAGAGCTTAACACAACACGCAATCTACAAAACAACTTCTTGGTCTCACCCACAGGTGAGATGCTATTCAGCACGCCTGAGCACTGACAGCATGTCTCTAATAGGCAAGCAACCTGGCAGGACAGTCATACCTTCATGCGGAAAAGTGCATGAAAGGTGACTTCTCAGAGCTGCAGCTGAGTGGTACATACTGCTCTTCACTCTCAGCAGGATCAAGGAACACTGTATTAAAAACAAAGCAGAACGACTCACCAACTTCCTGTGCTCTGTACTAGCAATCAGCATTGCCAATAAAAAAGCAGAGGACAGAATACTCATAGGGGTGCTGAAACAGGTGCTGGGCAGCAGTATCCTGGGGACTGGATTCAGCAGTATGGATGGAAAAAAAGATGACAAACAGAGTGATGGAGTAGTGACTACAGTAGCAATAGGAAGGTACTGCAGAGAAGGAAGCAAGGATCTAGAGGCCTGGCAGAGAAACTGTGGAGAAGATAGCATAGTATGAAGAGGGAAGCTAGGAACCTGAAGGAAGCAGAGACCACTGCAGGAGGAAGGCAAAACTGCAATCAAATGTTAACCTTCAGTGGCTCACATGTTTTAGTCAGGTGCTACTGTATCAGATGAACAACGAAAAATCCCTGGAGATACTGCCCTCACTGAGCAGATGAAAAATCTCTCAAAGCAATTGATGCTGACTAGTCCCATCCCAAACAAATTTTGGGTTTCATTTAAGAAAGCAGAGAACTAGACTAACCAAAGGCAGAGTCACAGGTAGAGGAAAAAGGGTAAGAAGTTGTGAGCTTCTACCTCTGCTGCTTCTTCTCCAGAGCCCCCTTCTGGTCCTAGCTCAGCAAGGTCTAAGATGGCTGCCAGCTCCTCCCCTTTAGCCTTCCTGCAGCTTTTTCTCCAAGGAGGGACATGGAGCATGGAGTTGGCCCTCAGCTGGGTCTTGCACCACCACCTTGGGTGCACAGTCCCGAGAATGCCCCAGCCTAGGCCAGAAAGCTCCAGAGGTAGTCAGTCACCCTCTGACTGCTCCAAGCTATCGCCGAGTCAGACGCGGGGACCAAAAGCAAAGTTTGTGTCTCCCATGTTCACAATTCCTACCCTTTCCTTTCAAATTGTTAAGGAATCTCTTTAGTAGGGGACCAGTACCAGGGCATGCAGATTAGCTGTCCGAGGAGCAGGCACAATGGGACTAAGTACCGTGAAACCTATTGGGAGGAGGTGGGGGGGAACCCAGTTCCCTGGGGATATGCACTGAGATTGGATCAACACCCAAAGGAAAAGAAGTAAGTCGTGTCAAGAACACTGAGTTAGGAGAAAGAGTCGCGTCTCTCCCCCCCACCTCCGACATCCCCTACCAAGGTGTCGCAGGCATTCCCAAATTTTGCTAAGCTTCAGGAAGTAGAACTACTCACAAAGGAGGTATGACGTTCAACTGCGTATCAACCAAGAGTAAGATGCAAAGGACAACTGCAAAAACAGACAACACTACAGAAGGACATCTCTTTAAATAGGTTACTGCCTGTTCTCATATTTTGACATCTTGAATCCTCAAAGTACCACAGCCTTTTTGCATCAGACTGAATTGAATTTAGGAAGAATTTAGGAAACACTTTGAATTCAAGAGGAGAAAGAGGCAACCCAGCACTGGAAATGAAAGTACCACTTAGCAGCAAGCTTCATATTCCTGTCTTAAAACCTTTTCCATTATAAAACAATCGATGTGAAACATATATCAAGATGTCGTCAGCTAAGCTTTCAAATACAGGAGCCTGTGATTCAACAAGGCTACTTAACTAAAACAAAGGACATTCTGCAGGGCAATAGCTCTGGTTGTAGCGATCTTTGAGTTCTAACTTGGCACAAAAAAGAAACGCCCCTCCCTGCAAGAAGTAAATCTCAAAGACCTCTCCACTACGTGAAGTATGCCCGATACATTAATAAAGGCAAAGTATTTTGTAAACATTGATCTAAGTCACTCTAGGAATGAAACACAGGCACTACTTTAAAATCTGCAATGCCTTATTAGTGCTATTGCTATTTAATCTACACCAGTGCGATCTGATGAAAGGTAATTTGATTTACACAACTGTGGGTAAGAGTTACCTAGTTTTACTGACCAAGAGACTCAAGGAAAATTCAGCTATGATTTTACTCATTACCCCTCCCTCACAAGAAAATATATACAGCTACTGTTAATTAATGATCTTTAATACCCTTACCATGTGGGAAACATCCAGCATATATTGTTTCAACAGAATTTATCAATAAGTTAGTTAGTATGATGCCGCTCTGAACTGGATACCCAACTGTGGACTCTCCAAATCTACTAGGTGTCAGGGTGCAAACATCAAGTTATATGTAAACTGACCTGGCTGGGATACTGCAGTGGCTGTAAACTGAGTAGCCCAAGGGGGATTCTTCTGTCCTCCAAACTGAGCCATCGCGAAAGGCAAAATCTCCTGGGTGTCTATCTTCTATAACTGCAATCTATTAAAATAAAGCAGCAACTACAATCTTTGAAACGTATAGCATCGGCCTATTTTAATTCTGGGTCAAAAAATCACGTTAAAAGATTATCTTTACATCTCCGAACCTGGTGGGCAACGCACATTCTTATTAAAAGCAGGGGAAACAAAAAGCGGCATGACAAGCTATCATGGTTTCCTAAGAAGTGATCTCCACCCTCCCACCCTTAACAATGAGCCTAACGCTATTTAAATATTTAAATACAAAAAAAAAAAAAAAAAGCATTAAAGTTTCCAGTCAGACTGGGGGAAAGGTGACTCTGCAGAACGAAGAAAATTTGTGTGGTGTTTTTTTTTTTTTTTGGCTCCGGTTACTTCCAAGTTGCAA